GAAGCACTCAGAGCCACAGGACTTGCCATGCTGGATCAGACTCATGCTCCCTGTCGTCCTGCATCCTCTCTGGTGGCCCGCAAGGAAGGTGAAATAAAATCCCCATGACAGTTATGTAACACCTTGCCCAGAAGGGAAGTTTCTTCCTTCCCTTAGGCAAGTGATCAGCTTATGCCCCAAACCACGAGCATTTATATCTCTTATAGTCATTACCCTTTCTAATGTAAATGGACAGCTCATTATCCATATAAATGTCTAATTCTTTCTGAACTCTTTTAAGCTCTTGCATTCAAATGATACGTCTACACTGCAAAGAACGGCACTGAGTCTTACAGCCCACATCAATTCAGTTGGTCTCAGGGGATTCAGGCCCTGGGGCTAAAATTAACAGAGTGGATGTTTCTGGCTTGGGTTGGAGCCCAGGGTCTGAGATTGTCCCCCTTGTTGGGTTTTGGAGTCAATTCTTAGCGTGTTCGAGGCAAATAACCGGAGCTCTGACACACTGTTCGGTGAGTCTTTCTTCGCAGAGTAGTCACACCCAATCTACCATTAATTATGAGAACATCCCAAGAAAGGAGCTCAGCAGGAGGGCTGTCTTTCATCCTTCCCCAGAAAAAACAGACATCAAAAGTTATGCAATAAATATGTCCAGGTAACAAGAAGATTAATCAGTTTCCCAAGACTTTCCCAAGACTCTTTGAGGTTTTTTCTCTGTGCTTATCTGTGTATTAGCATTTTCCTTGACTGTTATATTAACATGACCCAGTTCAATCTGTTTTTGGAAAATCACATTTACACTACCAGGAAAAAGAAGGACAATGCAAATTTCTGTGATTTGGAATTATTTTTTGGAGAGTTTTAATAACATCAGAGAGATTTCAAAACTTGGTATGCATTGACCTGGCTTTGAACTTAAGTAGCAATGCCAATGCTCTTGCTTGAGAAGTTAATAAAAAAAAAGTCACAGGATTTCCAAGACTTTTCTGGAAAAGTATTTAATTCTGAATGTAAATTAAATGCAATTATTTTTATTGCAGGATCTGAGTTTCAGGCTAGTACTCAAACACATTTCAACATTTTTTCAGTGCCTTTTCAAGGTACCATCTAATTAATTTTAGGCACCTGTCAACAAGCCTCTCTCATCAGTTCTTTTGGTTGTAAGTAGGGGCAATTTGAAGTGTGTGGGAGAGAGGAAGGAAACTGATGACTTATGTCTGTTTTCTATGGGTGAAATGTACCTGAAAATACTTTTCTGTTTGCTTCAGAAAATTCAAATTCAATTATTTGCATAATTACTTGTATTAAGTCAAAAATATTTCTGGATCTACTGGTTTGTGGGTTCTAGTACACTGCTCTAGCTGGTGCCATTGAGATGGAATAGCTGTCTCTCAGTGGCACATCTATTCAAAGAACGGGAATAACACAGAGTTCCAGCTGTGCTGAGGAGTCTGTTTGGTGGACCTACAGACAAATTGGCCAGTGGACATGTAGGTCATTTTCTTAATATGTAAGTGTTGGTAATCAGCAGGGGTGGCCCGTCCATATAGGAGAACTAGGTGGTCGCCTAGGGCGCCAAGTTAAATGGGGTGCCAAATAGTGGCACAATATCATTGAGGGGTTTGGAGGTGGGTGTGCCGATTGCATGGTGTGCCTAAGGCACCAATTGCTGGCAGCTAGTCTAGGGCCGCCCCTGGTAATCAGTCTTCTGTGTTCAGCACCTCAGAAACAAGTTCCTAAAGCGGTCTGGATGCAAACACAAGCCAGCATGGGTTATGTTGTAATGACTACCAGAAACATTTTTATGTAATATATTTCCAGCAAAAAACTTAATTTTTGTGGAAAAGAGCAAATTCTGCAGGAAGAGGCTAGTTTCAAAACACAGGCAGATTCCTTCACAATTTTAATTTCTTACTGCCTTAGCTAAGTTTGTTCATCAGGATGAGAAGAGGACACTTTGGGTATGTCTAGACTACAGGCTTTTGTCGACAGAAGTTTTGTCGACAGATACTGTCGACAAAGCTTCTGTCGACAAAGAGCGTCTAGACTACATTCAGTTCTGTCGACAAAGCAAGCTGCTTTGTCGACATGGCAGTGTAGACGCAAAGGACAGTGTAGATGCAATAACGCTTTCTGTCGACAGAACTCTGTCGACAGAAGGCATTATTCCTCGTAAAATGAGGTTTACCAACGTCGACAAAACTGCTGAGTTCTGTCGACGTTATGTCGACAGAACTCAGCGGCAGTGTAGACGCAGGTTTAGTTTTGTCGACAAAAGTCCACTTTTGTCGACAAAACCCTGTAGTCTAGACACATCCTTTCAGTAAAAATGCCTAAAGATTCAATTTCAGAGGGTATGAAGACCAGGACTTTAACAAGGTTCAAAAAAAGAACTAGGTACATTCACGGAGGTTAGGCCCATCAATACTTATTAGCCAGGATGGGTAGGAATGGTGTCCCTAGCCTCTGTCTGTCAGGGGCTGGAAATGGATGACAGAAGAGGAATCCCTTGATGGTTACCTGTTTCTGTTCGCTCCCTCTGGGGCATGTCACATTGGCCACTGTCGGCAGACAGGATACTGGGCTGGATGGACCTTTGGTCTGACCCAGTATGGCCGTTCTTATGTTCTTATTAATTAAAAAACACCGCTTGTTAACAATTCATAGAGGCAGATCCAGAGCTAGCGGAAGCAGATATGACTCATGATTTTTAAAGTGTTTTTTAATGAAGTCCTGTCTATTTATAAGATCGTTTCATATTTTCTTGGGTTAGCCAAATCCAGGCCCAGGGGTCGGGCAGGGACCAGACATGTCTTGCATTTCACTGCAGTTCATACAAGGGAGAATAAGGTTCTCCTGGAAACACATACATAAAACCATCCTCTCAATCTGACAGCATTAAGAAGTGGGAGGAAATTACAGGAATGAAAGAAGGAAGTGTGTATCCAACAGAGTTAAGATCTTGCCACCTTTTTTTGCTGCATTCTACATTATGCAACATACTGAGCTTTGATTTAAAAATGTGTATTCTTTTTCCATTGCAAGAATAAGCCATCCTAATGTAAACAGATGGACTACTACTACTCTGTTAACAGTTTTACAGAAACCTAACAGTGGTGAGAGGAGAATCTTACGTTCCCTCATTGGCATCTGAACTTGGAATGCTAACCGAGTCTATTAAAGTGCTAAAACTATGAAGCTGGACAATTTCTGTTTAGTCAATGTTTTCTAAGGTGATAGAACACGCACTGCAAAACGAATACATTAAAAGCATGTGACACGAAGTCATGTTTCCACGGAAAAGCAAAGGTGGCAACGACCATTTTATAATTTTTTTTGTGATTTTTTTTTTTTTTACCATGACATCTTAACAGCATCCCGACCTAGGGTTTGTTCGCATGTATTGTATAAATGGCATTGTTTTTACATTGTAAACATTGCACTGCTTTTGTAATAATTCCATGCGTGACATATTTTGTACCAGATAAAAATATTGAGTAAAAAAGAAGCCAAATGGCTTGTACAGTTTGGATCTCCCTGGCCCAGCAGTCTCGGGACCTCGCCAGTCCTGAAGGAGGGAATTTGCCATACCTAGAGAGGTCCCCTGCCATGGCCACTCAGCCTTCCTTCCTTCCCTGCCATCGGCTTATTCTGTCCCCATCAGGCTACCTGCTGGCAGTCCCCAGCCCTGGCCCTGCTCCAGCGCCAGCTGGGCTGTCCTGCAGCGGCCGCGGCCCCCCCAGCTCCAATGCCGGGCTGCCGCAGCCTTGGCCAGGGTGCCGCGGACCCAACCCAAATGATCCACGGTCCCTGGGTGGCCTCTGCTAGATTGCATTGGTCCCGCTATTATTTTCAGGCTGTCGTGACCCTGACACTCCCACCACCAGCCCTCTAGGCTCCCAGCTGCTGGCCCTCCGGCCCTGGGGCTCTCTCATCCAAGAACATTCATGGTCCTTCCAGATGTTGCTGGACCAGAAAGTCGGTTTAGAGAGGTGCAACCTGTGATATGATCTTTAAACAGTTCAAATTGCCACTAACCTCTACTGGGCCATTCCGTCTGAATCACAAAGCAGTAACGCCTTTCACGGGGCAAACTGACTATTGTAACAGATATCAGACCATGTAAAATAAAGAGCTTCAGAATAAGCTCAAAGGATTGTCCTGCAAGTATCGTCTCAACAATCACGCAACATCCAGCATAAAAAAGCTCCTGTGAAATGAAAACCATTCTTACTCCAGCTCAGAAAGGGACATACGATCCCGCACAACAATATGCATTAGATCAGTGGTTCTCAAACTTTTTGACCTGTGGACAACCTGGCTCAATGCAAACCTTTCCGCAGACTACTAGTTGCTAATGGAAACTCACCGCTAATTGCATAATTACGCCCAAGCCATTTTGCTAGTGCTGCAATTAGGGAAATGGTTTAATTTAAATGATTAAACAGATTAAGTGTTTTAACGTTCTCATGTTAGATTATCAAACTTAATTTAAAATGAAGTAAAATACAGGTTGCACCTCCCTAAACCGGGACTCTCGTCCGGCAACATCCATGATCTGGCAGGCCTGTGGATGTTG